AAAATAATCACTCTACAAAACCACTATAATCAACTGCAAATCATCAATTACTTGAACTTTTTTTTAAATTAAAAAAAATAAATTAAACTTAGTGGGGAAATACAATGTGTAACAATCTTTCTATTTAATGTATTTTTACTGGATAATTACCTTCATATAGATTTTTTTTTTTCTGCAATAGAATCCCTGTATGTGGACAAGAAGATGCAATCAGGCAGATGAGCAGATAAACCTTTGTGGTTCTTGTGGCATTAAAAACACAGGAGAGTTACTTTAACTGAAAGCATAATGCAAACTGAATGATTTTTGATTCACACGTTTAGCATCCCAGTTGTGTCTACGTGCATCTCAGTTCTACAGAAGACCTTCCTTGGAGAATACCTCAGAGTCCCTTTCCATGGATTTCATCTAGGATGTGAGATTTATTTCTTACAGACTGCTTTAAATATTTCTGCTAGGCTTTGCATTTACAGGTAGAAATAGAAAATTCTCAGTACAATTGGTATTTTATGTGTAGGTAAATAACATGCTGAAGTAGGATCACAAAAGCTGGTTATGTTTCTGTGGTACCAGATACCTTGTTCAACTGATAGAAGTGTTGCAATCACGTTTTTTACAGCTTACTTTAGTGCAGCCTTGACTGCCCTGATCAGCTTTAATGAGCCCTGACCTGCCTCCCCTGAGGCCTGAAGCCACAGCCTTTGCCTGTGGGCCCAGGAACCCATTCCAGCTCTGCCCTGCACCCTCAGTTCCTTGCTGAGCTAACTCTCGGGGCACAGTGAGGACCAGCTGCTTCCTGAAGGATGGACATAATGACTGATTAGGAGGGCAAAGATTTAATGAAGGCCCAGAGGTTATAGCCAGTGGGATTCCACAGTTCTATCCAGAAAAGAATGATGAAACTCTGAACCTTGAATTGTGCTACGGGCCCCGGAGGGTAATGCACTCTATTAATTCCAACTTTTTTCCTTGTCCTTTAAAGTAGTGACCTTATCTGCCATGTTCTAATTCTCATGGCTCGCTGTTCTAGATCCTTTCTCTTTCTTTTGTTGGTTCTGTTATGTGAGCAAATACAGTGCCACAGGGTAAGCCAAACTTGCTGCATGCCAATTACTTGGTGGTAATATTAAATGTAGGTCATTGGATAAAAAATGGAAGTTGATGCTATCCTGTTAGGTGTTCATGGGCTTTTATATCTGATGTGTCTGGTTGGTTCCAGTTTCCATATTTAAAACATAAACACAGTAATGTTTCATCCATAATTAAATCATAATTATGCAACAGAAGTTGATGTCCACAATCCTCCAAAACTTGTATAAATGTAAGCCACCTATAAAATTGTATATACATTTTTGAATAGTTAATGTTTTCAGTCAATGAAGAAATCAGTAGCCCTTCTGCTGTTTTTGGAATCCTGTTTTATGAGGTGGGCAGAAATTAAAAATATAAAGTAGTAATATATAATATTTTTATATGTAATTATTTATAACATGGGTAATTATCCAAGATGAATCAATAGCAACACTTTATATTCATCATTTTTCTTGCACTCAATCCCAAAACAAGTTTTGTTGGAAATGGAATCATGAATTAGACATAACTTATGAGTCTTCTGACTGTTATTTTTATCCTTATTTCCATTTTTTTTTTTTCCTCTTATCAAAAAAAGAGAATATGGTTCCTGGATTCTCTGTTCTGGGGTCAAAAAGCTACTCTAGGATGAAAGTGAATGTCAGTGGAGATGAAAAATGAGGGTAGAGATTTAGGAATTAAATTAGAATCTCAGGCATGTATCCTCCTTTACTGGCACACTAAGTTGAGAGGTTTTAAGTAAGTTTTAGTAATACAGCTTTTTCATTTGAAACATAGAATCACAGGAAGGTTTGGGTTGGCAGGGTCCTTGAGGATCATCTAATTCCTGCTGCCACCCCAGTGCTGCCATGGGCAGGGATACCACCCAGTAGCTCAGGGTGCCCAGGGCCCCATGCTGTCAGCTCTGATATAACATTACAGTTCATAACTAACTTGTTCTACCATTTTCAAAGGCAGACTTTGTTGGACTGCAAAACAGCAGTAGAATGTAATCCAGAGAATCAGTTTAACTTTATTGTTGTATATTAAAAAAAAAAAAACAAAACTCACTGAGCACTGGTGTTCAGACAAAGGGTGAAAGAATTGGGCTGTATTAATTGTGTTTTAGGAAAGCTGTTTGCAATGTGTTAAACAAAGGTGCAAACTTATGTATAAAACATGTGCAACAAAAATGTATTTTTTTATGTCTTGGAATTTGAGGGTATGGCTCTTTTAATAGTAACTAGTAGCTAGTCAGGAGATTGCAGAAATTATGTAGTTTGAGTGTTCAACAAGCAGGAGTTATCAAAAATGGAAGGCTTATAGTCTTTTGGTCATGTATGATTTTTTGTTCTTTTACAGAAGGAACTAGTTCATATATTGGAACAGCAAAGCTACAAACCTGTGTACAGTTAATCAAAATTTATAAAAACTGTAGTGACTTGACCACTTTCTCTCACTTTTTTTTTTTTTTCCACCAAAAATTAATGCAGCAATAATAATTCAAGCATATGCATTTTTGATGCTGTTGAGTCAGGGAAGGAAAGAAAAGACTGATCTTCAGAGGGTGAATTAGAACCTTTAACGAAAGTAGTGCATCTTTTTATAATGTGACTCACTAAGGTGAGACTTGATTGCTCTCAGAGTAAAACCTCTTGCACTATTAGTGAGCTATGAATAGCACACTCAGAGAATCATATCTATAAACAACAGTTACAGAAAGAGAGATAATAATTGTTTTAATTCTTTTCTCTGAATTTCCCAGGCTTACCCTGGGAGAAAATGATCTCTCTTCTTTCTTCAACTGAACTGAGTATAAATGTGGATACACATTTTCTGGTTAGATTTTTGATTTTTATTTTGAATTGTTTTTGCCATCTACTGGCCCAAGTTCAGACACATTCTGTAATTTACTTGTGTTCCATGTGATTCTCACATGTTTGTATAGTACACGTTTGCAACATCCTTGTTTTGGCATCTTATTTATAGGTGATTCCTAGATCAGTTACAAGGGAAAAAGAAAGCTAAATGCTCTTTGAAACATTCTAGCATTATCTGCTGAAATTCTGTTCTTGATACTAAGTTGGGTTTTTTGAGTAATGAAATTAATGAACTGGAGTCATCTGTGAATTTTTTTTCTGGTGCATGAGGTCTGATTGAAACTTTTCCAGGGTTTGAAGTATTGTCTGAGAAGTCTTGTCTGGACTGAGAATACTTCACTAGTGATGAATTTGTTTTGCTAAAACATCATATTGTACCAAAATCTCAAGTTCTTTCCCTCTAATGCCCCAAAATTCATAAAAAGCCTGCTTGAAGATATCTCAGTAGTTTATGCCTTTTCCAATGTATCTGCAGATCCGTGCTTCTCTGCTCATGCCCATGTAGGTGTCTCAAGTCTCTATCCACTCCTGCCTTCAGGTTCAGTATTCAGTAGAGCAACTATAAATGTTACTGTCCACCTGTGTGATAACACAGGTAAGTTCTTGTAAGTACTTGTAAAACTTTTGCAATTTTCTTAATTTGCTTTCTGTTGTCACTTAGTTTGTTCTATTTTTTCTGAAGAAACAATGTGTTAGAACTTTGCTCCAGCCCTTGCTCTTCCCTTGATTGTCCTAATAAGCTTGTCAATTTAATCAAAATCTTACATATAATTAAATTCCCAGGCTTTTTCTCAAATTGATGACCAGACAGAGAAGGTATTATAAAATACTAACAGAGTTAAGCTTATGTGTGAGTACATATCTTAATCAGAAAATTAGCAGTGGCATGTCCCTGTGTCCTAGTCACAGAAAAAGTTCCAGCAGCATCTTGATCACTAGTGCCAGTGAATAAAGAAACTGTACTTTGTTATTCCTCTGTACAAGGATCTGTTTCTCACCTTTTCTAATTAATGTTCTTTTTGGGCTAAACATAATTTCTCTGCTTAGCATCTCTCAGGAACTGTGATAATTTTCATTCATACATTGCATTTCTCAGTCTTCATTTCCTCTCATTCCTGGAGTGAAGATTTTTTTCTGCCTCTAGAGATTTAGAGTATCTCCTTTTCTCCCAGCAATCAAGGGTTTGGTTTCCCTGTTCCAAGGTCGTATCTTCTTACATCTTTACAGTGTTCCTTCTTCCCACTACATTTTAGGTATTCTTCTGCCCTGATCTTTTCCATTTATGAGTGTTGTTCCTAACAGTTCTTTGTCTTTCTTTGCCCTTACCAAGATTTTCTGGTTTTCTTCTGCCCTACCATTAACTGGTACCAGATAATCTTCCTCCTCAATTCTGATAGTCCTCAGGAAACTTTTTTTAAACCCACCACTAGCAAAGCGGGAGCTTCTCACCCAAGAAGGATGGCAAGTACTGCCAGGAGATCAGACTGGAAAGCTGCTTGCCTTTCCAGGTAGGGGTAGCAGGGCAGAAGCAGCCTCATGACCCCTCTGGCTGGCTGCAAGTCAGCGGGGCCTGAGGTGGAGCCCTCAGCATTCCCATGGGGCCTCTTGCATTGGCAGCAGTGTCACAGCACAGGGATGTTGGGCAGCTCTTGGCTTCCCTTATCTGTTCTTTCTCCCTTTTCCTCTTTTCTACCTCTTTTACTTCACCCTACTTGGCCTTCTCCTACTTCTCTTCTAGACTTGTTTAAACGTGTTCGCCAACAGTTTTCCTCTCGCATAACTCTTCACTGAAGTATTCTGTTAAAAAATCTCTTTGAAACAGTATGCACAAAAAAAACCAAAAAAGACCTGTAATACTCTGTAATACTGCCAGTCTTCTTCAGACACCTTTCCAGTGCCTTTAGTATGACTGAAGTGAACGGAGTCTCCTTGGATAAGGCAGGAAGACCGGATTGTGGACACAGCTCCCGGGCTCACCTGTGCTTGTGAGCCCCTTGGCTCCCATTCTGCTTTCAACACAGCAGCAAAAGCTGAGCAAAGGTTCTCTTCATCACCTATGGGCCCATCCTTGTTTAGAGAGGATTGCCAAAATAACAGAACATGTAAAAGGTGCCAACACTGTCTTCTCAGATGACCTCTGCAGTCCTTTGACCCTTAAGAAGGCAGCATGACCTGATCTTCAGGCAATCTCTACTACAACAGATCCCCGGCAATGCCTGTGCTACTGTCTCTAGGCTGGCTCAGAGTCTCCGGGGGGAATCTGTAGCACCCAGCCGCTGGCGTCTTCTCCTGGCGGAAGCTCAACCATTTGAAGAGAAGGGGAGGGAAAAAAAAATCCCAATCAGGACGCTTGCACATGCTGTTCTCTGCTTGCTCGCCTGGGTGTTTTGCTGAAGGACTGGGACATCTGCAGAGAAGGGGGAGCGGCGGCGGCCGGAGCGTGCCCTGGTCGGGCTGAAGTTCCTGCAGCGCCGGGGGCTGTGAGTGCGCTCAGCCGGGGGCGAGCGGCGGGGCCGGGATCGCGCTGCCCGGAGCGTACGCAGACAGACGTGATTAAAATTCAAGCCTAATGGCCTCTGGCATAAACAACATTCATCAGCCCGGGACTTGCAATGGATCTAAAGCCGCTCGCAGCAGCACGGCAGAGGAATACAATCGGGAAATGCACGTGAAAATGTGCAAGAAGATTGCCCAGCTCACTAAGGTAAGTCTCGCTGTTGCAGTCTTTCCAGGGAGGTGAGGCTGCCCTGGCCGGGGGGGTCAGGGAATTGTCTCCTCTGGTGCCCTTATCTGACAGGAGGGAAAGGAAGCGGCTCTTCTTAGGCTGTTGCCGAGAGCATCGGTGTGCACAAACTTCCCTGCACACAGTTCCCCCGCGGGGGCTGCAGCCCATCCTTAGGGGTTGCCTTTGTGGCAGCCGCTGGACGCCTCGCACTGCGCTGCTCTAATTACCATAGTGCGACCATAACGGGAGGAGCTCCAGCTCCGCCAGGACGCGGGGTTTGTCTGGAAGCTGGTGAGAGGGATTGACAGAATCCGCTTTTCTTCTAGAATTACGAAGACTGCAAATAATTTGAGTTTATAGGTTCTCAAGTAATACTGTTGCAAAGCTGCAGCCAACGCGTGGTACTACAGTACAATAGTACTCTGAGTCGCAGGTAATTATTCCTGATGTGCATAAGAACTACTTTAAATGACATTTGTAAAAGGAGTTGGAGAAGAGACAGGACTAAATTACGTGGTATATTGTACTTAAAACTTTTAGTCAATACTGAACTATTCAGTATCTTCCACACTGTTGAGAAATAAGAGAAAATATATAGGAAATAGTAGTTATCTATTAACCTATTCTTATGCTGCATCTTTGTCAGTGAGAAAAACATATTTACTATCCTTGCTTACTAATGCAGCTTTTACATGTTCTGTAACTTTGCTGCAATTGATACTTATTAGCAATGAAAAAACATTGAATGAAAATACAGATCAAAGAATAAGTCATTTAGATGTTTAAGTTAGAATGTCTTACTAGTTACAGTGCTATCGTTCTCATCTCATGATAGCTACATAACAGTGTACATCATGTGCATCAATACAAGAGCTACCTCTACTTACATATACTTCCTATACCTCTTGTACTATATCAATATTTACAAATTCTTTGATTGTATGTTTGTTTAACAGTATTTGTGCACAATAAGCTCCTTACTTCTTCCCATGCATTGTATAATTTTATTCCAGTCATTGTTTCAGATGTCTTTTGCTAATTTCCTACTTTAAAGTATGTGTGGTTTGATTTCTTTAGTTTTGATAAAATTTCCCCTCTTAATGCTTTTCAGTTATCTGAAATAAAGATGATTTATACCTGAGGCTCAAAAAAGTACCTCTGAAAGGCAAATAATTCTGTTTTGGAATGTGGCTTTTAAGAAGCAATTTTCTCTGCAATAACACTACACTTACAGAGAATTCATGGCACAACTGGATTTTGATTACATGCTTTCCCTTCTGAATTCTGTGTAGACTAATGCTGTTGGCAAGCATGTAAGAAGCAAAATCTGACACCAGATCAGCTGAAAAATGGCTATATGGGAAATTTGTCATAATAATTTTTGGCCTAGGAATTTTGAGAGCTCCCTTTTAAAGCACTGTTTTCTTGGTTATATTACAGCCCAAATGATTATACTTAAATCCCTTTTAAATTGAAATGGCCCATAGTACTTTTCCTTTTTGTTTCTAACGCAGTATGCAATACTGCTGTGTGTTGTTGCACAGCTGCAACTTCCTGTCTCAGTGACTGTAGATTCTCATTGATGAGGAGATAATGATCTCATTAATCATCCACTCAGTGTTGTGCCAGGCGAGATTAATACAAAATATGTAAATTATGTATAAGATATAGACCTTGTCTTCACTTTCTTAATAGTCGCTAGGGCCCTCTTCCTACTCTCAAAGGCAAAGAAGTGTGTAAAGGTATCAACAGGAACCGAACTGGGCGAGGTGAAGAGTTTCTGTCCTTGCATGAAGTGCTGATTATGTATTAAGGTGTTGGTTAGAGGAATACTGGGATCCAAGGTGGCAGAGACTGAGAGACGCTCCCATTCTACTGCCGTGATATTTCTGGTTTTGAAGAGGTAGAATATAGAAAGTTTTCATACCTTCAGTCATGCATTTTTCCTGTTCTGCATGTTTTTGGCTGTAGCCGCAAAAAATACAAACCTTTAGCACTGTCAATGTTTTGTTTGCTTTGGGCCACAGACTACTAGTTTTTTGTAGCTCACTTCTCTTGAAATGGGTGTATTATGTATTGTATTTAATTGTAGCAGAATGCATGACTTTGTAGTTGTTATAAAGTAACACTAGTGATGATGTTCAAACTTCTCCATCAGACGCTGGACCCATGGCATGCTACTTCATGCTTTCCCATTTCTTTGTATCTGTTTAGCAGTAACTTCTGTATATGTTTAGCAATAACTTCTGTATCTGTTTGGCAATAATGTGGAGTTTGAGATGCATGTTGACTTTTATAGGCCTTGGGGTGTCATTCCCTGCTGCCTCAAGTTACGGATTTGTAACATCTACTGGCTGTTACAGGATTTTCATGTGCTCATGGTTTCTCAGCATAGTCCTTTTTATTTGAAATTGGATGTGAAAGTCAAATGAACTCTTGAAGAAGAGTGTTGAGGATCAGCTTTCATTAACAGAATCCGTTTTGGCAGGGCTAACAGGAGCTAGATACGTTGCAGATATCCATGCTATTCAAGCTTCTTTTCAAACCTCTGCCAGTGGGGCTCACACCAAACCTGCTATTCTGGACTGCAGTTCTGAAACCAAGCCCAGTGTGAATACTTAGAAAGGTGACAGTACCTGGTGATCAGAGAGCTACTTAAACCACAAAGTAGTTCCGTTTCCTTCTTAGAAACAAATTCCTAGATACCAAAAAAATACCTAGGGGTATTTTTTACTGAGAGAAAACAGTTGTTCTCAAGTATTTTTTTCCCCTTGAGGTTCACCTGACTCTCTATTGCAAATCTGGGAGCCTTTTTATAACAAGCACATTTTAAATTGCAGTATTACTGGTCAATTAGATTGTTACTAAAAAGAAAGTCTATTAGTCTGGCAAAAATTCTGTGTATGTATGTTGGATACTGTGAGTTGTAACAGAGAAAGAGAGTGCTGATGCAAGGAAAAGTTAATTGCTGGTAAAATGCACTTGCAAACCCTTTTTTCCCTTTAGGGGAAAGAAATGTCAAAGGGAAGCAAGTGTATTCCTCTTCCAGAAGCAACAGCATAGGCAGATGTTCCTTAATGACTCTGTGTGCAGCAGTTCAAAATGTTACACGTTATCACTGCCTATCACCAGCACTCACTAGGAGGTTTAGCCCCTCAGCTCAGTCAGCAAGGTAGAAAATATGACCATTGTTTAATAGGCTTCAGTGAAAAATCAGCCAGAAAAGCAAACCCCTCTTTCTTTTATTGCTTAAGGGAGGGATGGCTGACTTCTGCACTAACATGCTTATTTTTTGTTAGCCTCACTCTTGTGGGTGGAAATTTACTGAAGAATTAGCAAGTGGCCTGGCGCATGTGTGGGGGCACAGACGGTTTGCACCACTTCAGTGTCTTGTAGCAGGGTTATATATTAGGTCTTTTAACCTTTCCTGCTGTATTTGCCATAAATCTATCAGACATTTCTTGGTTTTAGACATGAAATATGATCAAATTTTAATGGTTTATTCTGGAAGCACCTAACAGCTGGATACATCTAACAGAGCACTTCTGTGGTCTACTCATATTCCTGTTGAAAAATGTTGCCTTTTTCACATAGTTTGAGTTTATTGACCTTGTTTGCTGTGATGTGTTGACAGTACTCAGTAACCAGTGCTTACAGTGGTTCAGTTGTTGTGCAGTTAGTTATTGTTATGCTACCAGAGCTCTCCTGTGTGCTTGAGGCTTTTTGATCTCAGCTCTCTAGAGATGTATTCAATATTCTACAAAAATGAAGCAAAATAGAATAGAAGAATAACTAGGATCATGCTTTTGGAGCAACAGTATTTTTCCTTTGGGCAAGGAATATAAAAAATTATTTTCATGTAGTCAAATAGAGAGAATGTATTTATAAAACTGCTTAAATTATGTGCTAACAAGACCAAAAAAATCAGCCACCCGTATCCCCAAGTACTTTCTGATGTATTTTTTTTCATTATTTTTGTGCATAACTTGCTATCAAAGTTAGCATAAGTTTTGCTTATGAGCTGACAAGAATGTGCAGGCTAAGATTTTTAAACTTGTCATTATTATGTTTTTCCTTACAGAAAGTTCCTCCCTAAAAAGGAACTGCTGGATTATTAAATGCATGTGCAATGTCATAAAATAGTGTCGATCAGCTAGTCAAAAGCAGTATTAAAGCCATACTTCTATTGGGATAAAACCTAGTATCTTATTTAGACAGCTAGAAATTATAATTTAAATTAATTCAAGGGATGGGAATGATGTCTATTTATGGAATTACTTCCATACCATACAAATTTGGCACTAATTATATCAAGTTTGCAGAAAATCTGATGGTTTTAGTAATTGACAAGTCAAGACTACTTTATAATGGAAAGTACATAATGAATTCAAGTCTGTTTATCAATGAATACCGGTTAATGTTTATACTTTTTTGCATATTATTAATATGCAAATTACAGACAATAGGCAATAAAATATCTAATGATCCATTAATTGCACAAAATAAAATTGCAAGCTTATAGCTTTTTCATATTCTTTTTGGTACTATTTAAAAGTACTTTTTTCAGTGATGCTGTAATAGTACCTCTCTCCTAATATTTTCCTTAACCAGTATGTACATGCCAATGTTTTACAACTGTGAAAATTATACCCAAATTAGAAGTCAGTGCCAAGTCAGTTGAAGACATTCTCATGTAAATATTTTGAGCTATGTGTTTTAGGCATTTGAACACTCCAGCATTGAATATTGTATATAAAATACTTTTTTTCCATGAAGTGTCATGTTCTTCCCTCCACCCCGCCTCCAGCAGTCACGTCTTCATTACCTAAAATATTTTCTGTGTTTTACTAAAACAGTTGTAACACTGAGGTAGAACTCCCTTTGTTGCCACCTCTACAGTCATATTAAACACATTATGTGTTCACTGTTTTTCCTGGCTGTACACAGACTGTATTTAGTCTGATTCTAAAAACTACTTA